GATTCACCAACGTACTGGACCTCGCGACTCCCTCGTTAATAGGACGAATTCAAGTTCCCGAGATATTAATATAAACATTAATTAATAATATTCGGTGACATAGGGTCCTAGAGGATCGGTATCGTTGGATGTTCTCTAAAAATGAAATCGCAAGCTAATGCTTTGTGCGCCTGTTGCGTATGACGAACGGTGTTTTTTTTGTTTTTTTTTTTTTTTGCTTTTCAATTATCGAAAATGTGATATTTAAAAAAAAATCCTTCGCACTTTTGGAGGAGAGAGAAGCCGATTGGCGATCACCACTTAATTGATCGCTTGATTTAACGACCGCCCCCGGCGCGTATTATGCGCGAGGCGGTGGCGTCTGCGTCGGCGTCGACGACGGCGTCGCCGAGAACCGATCAATACGCGGTTACTGGCCAACGCTTCGTGTGCGTTTGTATGCGATGTATGCGCGCGCGCGTTGCCAGGCGACGGAAGCTGCGCCGCTGCCCCGAGAGTTCATCGTCCTCTTCGTTCCCTCTCTATCTCCTTCGCTCCGGTTCTCCTTCACCTACCCCCTCTACCCTGCCCCTCAGCCGCCAACCCCAATCCTCCTCCTCCCCCTCCCCTACCCCCTCTCCCGCCCCAAACTCTCGCTCGCTCTTTTTATTCGTAATTTTTTATTCCTTTTTGCCTTGTTTCTTACATTGGCGAAAGTCTTGGGGAACCAAGGCGGTCGGAAGATTCCTGTCTTATCCACTGATAGCCGAGCTATACTATTGACTTTTGCGATGCACCGGACGATAAATAGGGGAACAAAAGGCGATACAAAGGTGAAATTGCTGGAAAATGAAATGTCACCCAACGCGAAGAATATGGAATTAATAATAGCAGCGCGATATATTCCAAGATCGGTGATCATAGGTGTGTTGGTTCGTTCGTAGTGTATGTTGATGAATATTTAACGAGAATATAACATAAGAGTTGGAGCTTGTAGTTGGTTGTTGAAATTGTGAAAGTACAGAAATATTATTATCGTATTTCTTAATTAAATTTGTGAAATTAAAATGCCAAATGCGAAAGATTAAATGATGCTCCTGATGAAAATGCAGCTTTTAGATTGCTATTTTGATTTTGATTTTGACTTACATTATAATTCGCGTGGAGAACATGCAGGAAATGCAGAATAGCGCTATAGCTCCTGGTCTTTTTTTTTTTCATCCGTTCTGTCAATTTTCATTTATTCTTATTCCAATGGAGAGCCAACCTCTCTCTCTCTCTCTCTCTCTCTCTCTCTCTCTTTATCCCTTCGGACTCCCTCTTGGAATCTTTTGGTTTTTATACGCCCGCGTGCATATGTGTACGCACCCGTAAAAACGTGTCTGTTTTTGCAGACACTCCTCGTTCTTATTTCCACTGGTTGGTATTATTTTATTATAATTTATAAGGAAAGGACAAATTAGTTTCATGCTCTCGTTCATGCCCTAGATCGACTCATTGATTAGTCGCTCTTTATTAAGGATATTTGATTTGACATCAAATATCGTCTCGTAATGAGGTTATTCAAATAGTTTGTTGTCACTCGTGTAGATTAATAAGGATAATCTGCAGAATATTCCTAGTCGAATAAACGACTAAACGAACCAAAATTTCAATTGACAATTACAATAAATTTCATTCTTAAATACTCACTTACACAGCTTTCTACGAAAGAATTTTTATTTTGAATATTACAAATGGGCCTTGACTCAATTAACTCTTTGTT